AAACCTAAAAATTTACAGCCAATTTTGAAAGAGATGCATCTTAGCTCTGGAAATTGTTATTGAATATGTCAATGCTGGTATAATGAAATGCTTCTCCTAATTATGTGGTTATTAAATAATTTTTAAAAATATGAAAATAAGAGAATAAAATGAATCACTAATTCATAATACCACTGATGTTACATACCTAGGAGATGTGTCCAAATGTTGCCTGTCTCTGTGTGTATTCTGAAAATGCTCTTAAAACAGGCCCGGAAAGAAGGCATAGGAGGCCGGTGTCCATGGAGAAGGAAATCATTGTCCTTAAGCCAGTCCGGTAGCACATCATGAGGGATTACTCGCCATCGACCTTCCCAGACCTAGTATTTATTAAAGAATGTTATCAAACATCTTTGTGATTTTAGTTGTCCATTTAGCAACATGTGTCCCAAATAACTCTCTCTTCTACCACAATATTTTATAATAGAGAAAATAAAAGTCACTGATAAAATGTATTTTTAAATGGTAGGCTTTGTTAGGAGCAGGAAGGAGTAAATATTCCAAATATGTCCTAAAAGACCTTTGTTTCAGTGAGGCTAAAGGAATCAGGAGCCTGACGACCCAGCTATGCAGACCTGTATTTGTCCTCTACAACAGGCTTTACCTCAGAAAAATGAGTTATTAAATATGACCATTTTAGATTTAATATTCCTGCTGACAGACAAGAAGTGTACAGATTCACATTTCCATGCTTTTTGCTAAAAACTTTCCCCTCTTCTTCCCACAAGTAAATGTGAGGCAAGAGAACAGAAAATGCAAGAGGTAGGAAATTGAGCCTCTAACATTAACTAGCTGTGGAGTTCAATCAATTACAAAATCTTCAAGTTTTAGTTTCTTTGCCTATAAAATAAGGTAGTCCTTCACTTAATTAGGAAATTATGAAGAGCAAATAAAATGACACAGAGACCTCACAAGAGTCTGCATTGCTAACATTCCCCACAAAGGTAGTATGCAATTCTGATCATCCCCAGAGACTATTCCCTGATACAAACTAATCCTTCCATCTCTTACCAGAGTGATCCAAAAAAAGTGCTTCCTTAACAGCCCTTCAAGTCCCTTAGCTTCTGTTCCTTTTCCTATTGTCCCTCCCCAATAGACTTAGAGGAACGATGGATAGGGCCTCAGTATTGCCTCATTAGAAAGTCTGTCCACCAGCGTACCCTATTTCTTTTAACCCTAATGTCTCAGCCTAGGCTTCATACCAAGATCAATTCACCCAGAATTCAGCCACAAAGGAGAACGTTTCAGTTAATGTGGCTCCTCAGAGCTTTTATTACATTATGAAGCAAAGGTCCAAACCACAAACTGTCAGGGCTCATCCTCAAAGAGTTCTACACACTATCCCTCAGGTCTTGTGACAACACAGCTAAGCCAAATAACTTGGCTCTCTCCACTATGTAGAAATATTGTCACTTTACTTACCAGCTACTGTGTCCCTTCCTTTCACTCTACAACCTGTTTCCTATTCTCCATTCTCTTATTTCCTTACTGACAATTATAAAAGAACTGTTCCTCTGTGTGACACCTTCTATACTCCCAAAGAAAGTACCAACTTAAGAACAGATGCAGCTCTCTTATCTTAAATCAGTCTCATGCCCTCCTTCTCCTCCCTTACCTCTCATCTTCCAACTCAAACTCAGGTCTTATATTCACTGATGCTAACCGGGTCAATTCATGTGTATTCCTAAAGTAAAATAAAATACTCTAAGACTATTCCAGATCTTGAATATGTACTACTAGTAGTTCAGTTGTCCCACGTATCTAAGAGGAGCTGCTTCCAAGCATCTTGTGCATAATGAACTCTGCAGGTACCCAGGTCCTTAATACAATGGCATACTGTCTGCATGAAACCCATGTATACCCTTCTGTATACTAACACAGATAAGCTGTTTTCCTCAAATATTTCCTATTTTCTAGTTATCCCTTAAAAAGAAAAAATCATACAGTGGATCCTAGAGAATCAGACAATGGTCTGAAAGGAAAACCTGAGAGAGAAAATATATGTGCTCAACTGAACGTGCTAAATATGCATGAAAATTTGGAAATTTCTATCTCAGTAATTTGATAACCCATAGAATCTCTAGAAAGAATAGAATTTGTACTACCTAATTCAAACAGAATAGATACAAGGGATTTGGGTATGGCTTTTTGTTGAGACAGGGTCTCCCTGTAGCCTCAGCTGGCCTGGAACTCACTATGTAGACCAGGTGGCTGGCCTTGATCTCAGAGATCTCTGAGTACTGGGATTAAAGGCATGTGCCACTGTGCCTAGCTATGGGTATAGCTTTTTAACATCTTTAGCAAACCACTCCAAACTCTGTTCCATTCTGTCTTATCTAATCCATTTATTCTGTTAACCTGAATCTGGAGAGCTCATATCCCAAGTGTACCTTCTGGTTGTACCAGAACTTTACCAATGTTTTACAAATGTATTGTGCCTCAAGCAAGCTTAAAGTTAATGAGACCTTCCTGTCACCATCTTGCCTTGGATTTTCCCCAAAGCAAAAGACAACTACCCTCTTTCAGTTTCTATATAGAAAGGGCTAAACAGATTTCATGAAAATAGGAAGAAATGGCAATCTTACCTTACAAACAAACTCTTCCATTCTTTCCATAGCATGATGGGCTTGTAAGAGAGGGGACATGCCCATAAACCCCTCGTCCTCCTGGGAATTGTCATTACTGCACTCATGTTCCTCAGAGTTCTGCAAAGAAATCACAAGGATAGTCAAGCGAAAGGCCTAGGAGTCAAACAACACAATCAACACACTTTCCTTGCAAATGTAAAAGTTTTAAGGTCAAAGCCTGGTCAAGCAAGTATCAACAACAGAGCAGATAGTAAGTTCACTGGCAGGTAGCACAACAAATAGAGTACCTTCCTGACAGATTCCAAGGTAGTTGGCAGAGCATCAGTTGGCTGGTGAAGGGAGAGGCTCCCAGTACAGCACTAGGCTTCTGCAGGAGAGGAAAAGGGGACTCGGCTGTGGTCCCAGGAGCAGCACAATCTAACTGCCAATTAGTGCATTTAGAAGTAAGTCTTTTAAGCAGAAATTAGATCTTATTTTTCTTATTTAAAAACAGTAATAACTATATCCAACTCACAGGGTTAGTCTAAGGACTGAATATGATGTGAAGAGTTCACAATTGTCAGTTTATAAGAAAGTGCTGGCACATAAATGCTCAGTGAAAGCGCTTTCTCCCTTGTCCCCATCCACTCCTTAAGCTTTTCTTGATCATGTGTCCAGCCTGGCAGGCCCATCTGCAGCTGCTAGTCTAGTGCCCACCAGCTCACTCTGGAGGCTGCCTCTCCTACTTCCTGTACATGAACTGCTCCAATGCCAGTGGCACTGCAGGGGTAGTTTACAAGTAATGCTCACAAAGTATACTTATAAAAAGACATTTTTCTTTAAAAAATTTTTATCTTATTTATTTGCATTTCTTTGAGTTTTTAATAGTTTTAATAGGAAGACCTCTCATTTGGGAAAATGAAAAGGTTCTAGAGATGGATGAGGTTGGCTTATGGTTACGTACTTATTGCCACAGAAGCACACAATCATCTACATGACTGCATGTAGGACCGTCATGAGTAGTAGTGCACAGCTATACAATCCCCAAACTAAAGAAGGTGAAACAGGAGAATTGCTGTGAGTTCAAGGACATACTGGTATACAGTGAGATCCTGTGTCTCAAGTAAAAAGGGGTGAGGCTGTAGCTAACCTGTCTAGCATACATGATGTCTCTCTCACAGACATGTGCCCCCCCACATATGTAAGAGAGGACAACCACCTTACCCAAATTAAGCTCCTAAGAAGACTGAAAATGGATTACCTTTCTGTAGAGAAAATATTGTCTAGCCCACCAGCATGAGGCTTCTATACCTATAGTCCAAGAATGGGCAGTTATTATCACTATAAAATTAGGGTAACAATTACATCCTGAAGAGCTGCAGGTGGAAGAGAAGTCATGTGCTTCATAACAAGAAAGACAAGAGAACGTTACCACTATTCTTTAGTCTTAGGAAATTTCTTGGCAAAGGTGGAAAGAGATTTCTATATGATACATACACTTGGCCAAAACGCTGAGAAAAAACACATTTACTTTTTTCTTCAGTTCTAGAGATTGAACCCAGGGCCTTATGTTTGGCTAACCCATAGTATATCTACAATAACCAGATACAATGAGAATTTATTTTACTTGTTCTTTCACTCTTCATTTACCAAATACAACTGTGTCCATATTAGCTATAATACTCTGCTGGATGATATGGGCTTTGTAAACATGAAGAGGGTTGGACTCCTGGCACCCAGCACTTCACAATCTAGCAAGAAAAGATGTAATTTTAATATGGAGGGACTGTGTGGTAGCAAGAAGGGACCATCTCTAACACCAGCTGACCAGAGAGGCATGAGTCATACATCAACGGAAGGCAATGCCTGCTTGTCTAGGGGAGCTGCACAGCTAGGAAGCCGAGAGCTGCTGACAGATCAGAAACCTGAACAGGCTTCTTGGATGGGTTTCAGTTACTGAGCAACTGCTCTCACTTTCTGATCCTGACTTTCTCCCTGGAGGAGTGCTGGGATTACAGAAATCCCTGCTACACTGTTGGCTTTTTATTTTTTTTAATATTTTATTATTTTTATTTTTCTGTATATGAGTGTATTGCCTGTTTGTACATCAGTGCACCCATGTCATGCAGTGCCCACGGAGGTCAGAAGAGGGTGTCAGACCTCCTAGAACTGGAGTTATGAGTGGTTGTCAGCCACCATAAGGGTGCTGGGAATCAAAGCCAGGTCCTTTGGAAGAGCAGCAGTGTTCGTAACCACTGAGCCATCTCTCCAGCCCCATCTTGGCTTTTTATGTGAACTCTGGGGATTCAAACTCAGGTCCTTATGATTATATGACAAGCATTTTTACCCACAGAGCCATCTCCCTAGCCCCTAATCCTGACTTCTTGATCTACTTTCAGCTCCAGGGTGCTGTCAAGAGTCTGGTCTCTTGACTCCATTGTGTTCTTGAGAACTCTGAGGCCATGGTGGTGGTAGTGATGATCACATTGATGCCTGTGCCGTACTCAGTGGCAAGAAACAAAGTTGGCTACTATATTGGGCATGCCCTGTGGTTTGGCCTAATCTCCATGTATAGTGTAGTAGTGTACCTGGTCCACCTGCCCTGGCGCCACCTCTATGAAGAGTTCAACTGCCATGGAAATATCGCCTATCTTTGATAGAGTGTTTTGAACAAGTATTTAGCATTCCTATCACAGGAATATGGTACTACTTCTACTTCATCTTCGTAGCCTCCTTCTTCCTCATGGAATTCTTCATGGGTCAGATTCGGCATAAGCCCATTAAGGTAAAGGTGATGTCCATGAAGAATATAGAGAATGCAGGGGGAATGGAGAAGGGCTCCATGGAGACGAAGAAGCAAAGCCCCTCTCAGATGTTACCCAACCTGAACTTCCACCAAAAGAGGCTGCTGTATTTATATCTCCTCCACTTCCTGCTGCAGGTCAGCATCCTGATTGTGTTTCTATGTCTGTTCATATTTGAATACCCACCTATAGTGAGCCAGGGCAACTTTCACTGCAGCACCAACAGCTGCTCTGCCCCCTTTCGCTGCCTGATCAGGAAGACCTCTCAGAAGAAGATGTCCATCTACATCCTCACATCTTCTCCACTATGATCCTCCTCCTTGGCACAGGTTCCTTCATCTGTGGCATTCACCATTACCTGCTGACAGCTCGTTCAGCTTCCAAGACTCAAATTTATTGACATTTGTGAGAGAATACACTTCTTAAAGTCCTTTCTCCTTTCCTTCCTTGTGTTCCTCTGAATTTTGTGTTTGAAGCACAGCCTCTTCCTGGAGGTTTCCTTTGGGTTTTGCATTTTTAAAAATAAAAATTTGCAGGGTATTATGTCATGCACACCTTTAATTCCAACACTCAAGAGACAGAAGTAAGTGGATCTGAGTTCAAGGCCAGTCTGTTCTTCACAGCAAGTTCCAGGAAAGCTAGGGCTACATAGTGAGACCGTCTCAAAAATAATTAATTAATTAGCTAATTAATTAATACTAAATTAAAAATAAAAACACAGATTTTTATCTCTTTAGGCCAGACTGGGGTCATCTGACTCTGAGAAGACAAAAATACATTCCCCAGGTGACCGCCAGGCCCTGGGGGATAGCAGCTCATTTCCTCAATAGGGTCACTACTAAAGAGGCTGTATCTCCTTTTCCTGAGGCGTGGGAAGATAGGTGGCTGGTAAAGGCCACCTGCAGTCAGCCAGGGAAGCCAGCTTTGAACCCAGATCTGTCCTCTCCCCAGTCTACACACCCCAGGAAACTTTAGATGTTGCCACTCAATGTCAGTCAACTTCCCCTGTGTTAAAGCTCAGGGCTGGTTTTCAGTTTCTGAGCAGGTCTCACAGAAGCAACCAATGGGGCACTGTGCCAGGGTGTGGCCAGGGTACGGTCAAAACTTTCTCAGGTCAGGGTTACACCCTCTTCCTCTCTAGTCAGAGGTGAAGGATCCAGAATGCCAGCTTCTACTAATGTGTTCATAATCCAAGGATAATTCTCTAGGAAAGGTATCCAGGTAGGGTAGACAGGGGATGATGGACAAGACTTCTAGTCATCCTTAAGTCACAAGACAGAAGATTCCGAGTTCCACTAACAGATGAAGGCTGACTCATAGGGGACCACCTGCCTTCACTGCCCCAAATGGACAAGGCTGGAGTGGGGAACCAGCACCCAGTGCCAGGGGATAAAGAGCTGGGGAAAGAGCAGAAGCAAGGAGGTGGTCCTGGGAGCCCAGGGTGTGAGGTAATGTGGGAGGCCAGGGGCATGCCACCCTGCCAGCTTCACCCACAGATTTGAGGAAGAGGACACTGTACTCTCCACAACATAATAATCTGTAATATAATCTAGAGAGCTTCACTGTGGCTGTCTTCCCACAATGAGCATATTCATTCAGTCAGTATGGGCCAAGTAGTGGGGATAAGCAATATAATACAGTAACAGTCAGAGGTGTAACAACTATTATAAAGCACTGGGTGAGCTTGGTGGCACTTGAGAGATGAAGGAAGATCAAAAGTTCAAAGCCAACCTCAGCTGCATAGTGAGGCTAGCCTGGACCATGTGAAACTGGAGGGAGGGAGGAAGGGAGGGAGGGAGGGAGGGAGGGAAGAAAAATATTACAAAGCAATAAAATGGAACAACCTACAGTTATATCCGGAAATACAAATACCAAAAATATGAACAAAAGTCAAAGAAGGTGAGTACATGTGTACATCTAGAATGACATAAAAGTACAAAAACAAAAGTCAGGCCGGGCGTGGTGGCACACACCTTTAATCCCAGCACTTGGGAGGCAGAGGCAGGCAGATGTTGGTGAGTTCAAGGCCAGCCTGGTCTACAAAGTGAGTTCTAGAACAGCTGGGGCTACAGGGAGACCCTGTCTCAAAAAGACCAAAATATATATCATATATATATTTTTTTTAAATATATATATATAAGTCCCAAGTGTAAAACACATAAATTCAATGAGGCCTCAGTTTCTTTGTCTGTAAAAGAAATACTAGTAACACCTATCGTATTCTATAAGGCTGCTGTTCTAGGAAAAAAATGACATATGCAAAAGAGCTTAGAAAATTGCCTCATATATGGTAAAGACTGATAAATGTGAGCTAGTAATAGTTTACTAATAGTA